GGGAAAATTTAACTAAACCCCCTTATATATATATAAAGGGGGAAAGACATTTTTGCCCCCGCATGTTTACACTTCTGTTTAGGGGGGGTAAAAGAGCCGAGCCGGCTCGCGAACTCGACGATCCGGCTCGAAAAAAGCTCGAACTCGAGCTCGGGTTTTTTGAGCTCGAGCTCGAGCTTTTGAAGAGCTCGAGCTCGAGCCCAAAATAAATTTTTTTTTGGCTCGCGAGAGACCTACCTATTTTTATATATATATATATATATATATATATACACACACACACACACACACATATATATATATATATATATATATATATATATATATATATATATATATATATATATATATATATATATATATATATCTTATTCTTATTATTATTATTATTATTAACTAAATAGTAAATAGTCTATAATAATAAATATATCTAGTATTTAAATAGAAACAAATCTATATTACTTAAATAATTCATAATAATATAAAATATTATAATAATAATAGAAAAAATAAAAAAATATATATAACTAGAGTTCATTATTTATTTTATAATTTTTTTTATTTTCCTATGTATAATTTTTAATAAAAAAATAAAATGATTTTAATAAAAAAAAATAATAATAAAAAAAAAAAAAAAAAAATTAAATAAGCCTGACTCGAGCTCGAGCTCGAGCCAAAAAAAATTGCCTCGATGAGCTCGAGCTCGAGCTCGAGCTGGGCAACATGGACTCGAGCTCGAGCTCGAGCTGGCCAAAAGAGCCGAGCTCGGCTCGTTCCCACCCCTACTTCTGGTGGATTTCGCCTGAAAATACCACTTTTTGGCAACTTGCAACAAAAAAACAAGTTTAGGTAATAACGTGTAAAAAAAAATTGTTTGGGGGGCAATGTGCAAAACGGGCATTAATTTAGGGGGTAAACTGCTTTTTACTCTATATAAAATGATTGTTAGAAGTGTTTTTATAAGTTAAAGTGCCCCAATGGTTAGCAGCGTTGAATGCATTAAAAGATCCTAAATTCAATTACCAACTAAAAAGGTTTCTCTCTCTATCACTTCTTCTCCTTAGAGCATTCTCAAGAACAAACATGACTTCACCATATTCCTACTAGATTTCACCATATTCGTACTAGATTTATGATTTCAAAAATTCTCTTAAACATCTTTTAAATATTTTTTAACTATTAACATTTTTTAAATATTTAGTATTGTTTATTAAATATTCCTACAATATTTATTAAAAAAAATGAAATAATAGTTTTGATATTAAGTATTTTTAATAGGCGGCGGATATATGCAAGTCCATTTTTTTATTAGTTCAAGACCTCCAACATAAAAATACTAATTTACCCTGAATGAAATTCAAAACCAAATAAAAGACACAAAACATTAAAAAAATAAAAAAATATTTTCCTGTGTGCAAGAGCAAATAAAATACATAAACTCAGAAACCTTCTTCATTATTTCACGACTTAAAAATCCTCCTTCTCCTTCTTCTTCACAAACCCACCAAGAAACCCTTCACATCAAAATTATCAAATACACACCAAACATTCACGATGGAGCAAGAAAACAATGATATGGTGGTTTACGAAGGTGGAGAACACAATGAGATATGTTTAACCGTTTATTTTTGCTTTTGGGTCTTTTTTTTTGTTGGGAAAAAAAGTCGACGATACAAAAAATCGTTCTGCAAATACCGATTTTTGTTACTAAAGTCGGTAACCACATTCCGATTATTTTAATAAAAATCGGTACTTAAAAACCGATTTTTGTAGTACAAATCGGCATGACAACACCGATTTGTTTTTGTATTATCGGTATTGTCATGCCGACTTGTATTACAAAAATCGGTTTTTAAGTACCGATTTTATTATCTGTATTTTTTTAAGACCGTTTTCCTATACTTTCTTGCAACAGCCTAGGGGATTGATGGATGATTATTCAGATGAATAATCTACCGAACAAATATTTGAGACACGGAAAGCTCTACACGATTGGGTTAAAGAAGTTGGTAGATGCCACAGAATGGTGATAAACATTTTCGTTTCACATCCGGGATTGAAAGGACGTAGAAGACCGTATGTTGTACTCGCATGTGAGCGTGCGGGTGAGTATCGTGGGAAGAAGAAAGCCGGTGGGATGACCAAGGAGAGGGAAAGAGGAGGACGGGTTCTAAAAAAGGTAATTGCACATTTAGATTAAAGGGACAAAACGAGGAAATGATACCGATAATGTTGGGTGGGATTTAAAATGAATTTTCCTATACCTCCTATGGTGGATTATTGGCGACGGTACCATGATGAAAAAGCGGATGGTTGGAAGACTTCCAATATTGAATCAAGGATTACAATGTTTAGGAAGTTAGTTGGTCAAGACTGCCGAGTAAGAAACCTTCATAGATTTAACGTATGTAACTGAAGACGAGACGATAAAAGATTTTTCGTGAAACAATGTAATTGATGTACAATCGTTTAAGATTGTTGGTAGCCTTTATTATCATTATGCATTACCTACAATTGCTCGTAACATATATATTTATGCTTAATACCTCTTAAGTTGTATTATAAGATCCAGACACCTAAGGATAGTGTGTTACGAGTTGAGAAAAAAAAAATCAAAAAAGCGAAAAACCGTGAAATATTGGTACTGAAGAAGGACCTTGATCAATCCGAGTGCGTCAACCGGGATGATTAAAAGGGGCACGCCTTTTTTTTTTAGCTTTTCCACCTTGCTCTTTTGAGCATTTTCCTTTCGTTTACGGGTTGAGACAGTCGGCGCTACACGAGGAGGTTGAGGTTCCACTGCAAAACATTTAAAAAATATCAATTATTAAAAACAAAAAGGAAAAAATAACGAAAAACATCGGTATCCGAAAACCGATTTTATACTCAATAATCGACATTACAACGCCGATTTTGACTTGTAAAGTCGACGTTGTGTCGCCGATTTGGTTAACAAAAATCGGCATTATGACGTCGATTTTCGTGTACAAAATCGGTCTTGGTAAACCGATTTGGGAAACCAACGAAAACACACAAAAAAACCAATTTCAATCTCAATTTTTTTCCAAAATCGGCCAAAGCATTGCAACCTAACAAGAAATAAGCATAGATTAATGTTCATCTACGCATATTTATCAAGAATCGATGCTCGATTAATGTTTTCGAATTTACAAACAAAAGTTTAGTTAAAAGGACTTACTTGTTGGTGGTGGTGCGGTGGTGGTAATGGTGCTGTGGGTGGGTCGCTGGTCATCGCCGGCGCGGTGGAAGTCTCGGTGGTCGGCGTCGCGGCGGCAGCCGTGATATTTTATTTGGTTTTTTTTTTTTTTTTTTTTTTTTTTTTTTTTTTTTTTTGGTCTTGAACAAATTAAAAATAGGGTTTATTTGTATCTGGGTATTATTTTTGGATAAGGGTATATTTGTCATCTTTGGTCTTGATGTAATAAAATTAGATTAATTTACGGGCTTGAACTAATAAACCTCTTTATGTGGGTTTGAACTAATAAAAAAATAGACTTGCATATATCCGCCGCCTTTTTAATATTAAAAAAAGTTGAAACACTAATTAACATTCATTAAACATCAGTAAATCTTATCTAATATATAAAATGAAGATATATTTATTGACCTATAACCCTAGACCTAAACCTAAGGGTATTTCCGGAAATTTTTATTTTTGGCTTTTTTTTCTTTAGTTTTAATCCGCGTTGCTGGTCACTTTTATTTTTGTTGTTCGTTGTTTTTTTTTTCTTTTTTTTTTTTACTTTTTTTGGTGTTTTAATTTTGAATAAAGAAGAAAAATAAAAACTGAACACGATAGAAAAAGAAAGACCGAACACGATAGAAAAAGAAAATCCGAAGAGGATAGAAAAAATACAAAACACTATAACCACGATCTACCCTATCCATATCTCTCCCATTTTCTTTTTCTTTTTTGCGATCATGCAATTAAAACTCAAAAAGAAATTGTCCAAATTTATTTGAAACAAATTCTCACCGAAGTTCATAACCACCCATTTGATGCCATTTTTGGGTGGGGGGGGGGGGGGGAATTATAAATAAAACCCACACGTCTGATAACTGATAAAAATACACAATCGAAAAAATAACTGATAAAAATACACGATCGAAAAACTGAACACTATAAAACCCACACGTTTCTGCGTCTATAAATTCATGCTTATTTATTCTCAAGGAAGGTATTTGCTTATTTAATTATTTATTTATGTATGTATGTAGATTTTTGATTATTTGTCATTCATCCGTGTGTTGAATAGCTCATTTTTGGCTTTATCCTTTTCATTTATTGACAACATATTGCAGATGTATTCGGAGATAGCACAAATGCTTTGACTTTGAGTCATGTTTTTCGTGATTCACTTAGAAAAATAGCAGAATTTGGGTTTTGGGTTATCCTCCCCTTAATTGATTTGTTGGCATGATTCTTAGTTTATAAATTATGCCAAGGTACGTTGTGATAAGAAATACACGACAATAAAAAGTTTAATAAGAAATATATTTCATATCCAAGTATTTGCTTAACATATCAATCTTTGATATTTCTTAACCGTTTATATTTTGGTTTTGCTTAGATTCTATTTTATTAGTTTCTCCAAGTATTTTCCTTGATTACTGGCAGCGCCTAACCTATTATTTCTTTTTCTTCATGATCAACAACTTATATATCCTTTTTTCATACACAGATAGATAGGCTTAAATATACTCATTCTGTTAAGCTTCTTTTTAAAATATATGTTTGTTATGAAGAACGACTTAATATCTGCAATATTTCGTTATTTTTATTGTGATTTAAGTTATTTAAATGTATTTTTTTCTTCTTGCAAGTT